ACCTACAATTTAGAACCTCAGAAATGACAACAAAATCAAAGTTAAAAGTAATTAAACATAGACATGAGCTGAGCTGCTTACCTAAATATTGAGTATACTAAGTGGAGATCATCAGCTTTGTGGTTATATGTGTCATTAGTTCCACATTCTGGATTTTTTTTTCTGTTAAATGTTCCAGTCACATCTTCCCACATTTAAATTGAAACTCAGTATCTCACTTTTTCAAAACGCTATGTACTTTACAAAAGTGGACAAACAATCATCTCTCCTTGCCCCATAACATTGTTTTCATCCCGGACACAACTCTAATGCACATAAAACATAGCACAAAATACAAACAAGTGATATGATTCTAATTGGGTATTTTAAAAAATGGATGATAACTCTCTTAGGACTTGGTCACATAGTGCCATTAACCTCAAGAGCAAGTATGTTCCAGTATCATTTTCATGCAGCAGCTGGGCAGATGCTTGCGCCAAATAAATAAGGTTCTGTATAAATCTGCACTTCAAGAGCTGGACTTTGTGTATTATCTCAATAGTGGTATAGTTCAAATCAGAGCTTGAGGATGTACAGACACATGAAGAAAAAGATCAGCAGACAAAAGGGAGTTCTAAACTCCTTACATGTGCACTGATTCTACCCTACAAATACAGGTTTGTCTGCCTGTTCACAGTACGATCACTTCCTGTTTTGAAGCCTGAGTGGGCCGGGAGCTTTTAAAATAAGCTGGGGAACATTTTCAGGTGAGAATCAGTGATGCAAGAAGAATTGCATACCTTTGTGTATCCACCAGTGCTTCCCAAGTAAAGCATCCTCTGTCCCCATTCATTTGGCCAACCAGCAATGGATAATTTAATGCACTGGGCTGCCATCCAAAACAAGGCTAGATATCTTTATGCCGACTGATTTAATTTCAATAGGCCTAAGCATACCTACCATTGTGAAGAATGTCAGAGACCAGATATAAAAGAGAATGAGTCTTTTCCATCTTAAAGAAGGACCTGCATGACTTGTAACTCACATATCCAAACATGGTCAAACAGCAAAATATTGTGACCTGTCAGGTGCTTAATAATCTAGACAGGTGGAACAATGGGGTTCACCACTCAGTAGGCCTTCCAAACATTGTCGTCAGACCCATCCATTTGGTAAATTACAAGTTATACAGGTCTTTAGTTACCTTTACCAAAAGTTAGGTAAAGTCATGGGGTGATGGGCTTCATTTTACTGGATATTGCCATCTGTTAGGGTTGTTCTAATTTGGATTCCCATATAGATCAGGGACTTAGACATAATGACCCTTTCAACTCCGATGACTTCTTCTACAGAATGAAATCATTATAACCTTTTAAAATGGGTTTGAAACACTGAACTGGACTAGGGTGTGAATGCTCAGAACCATGTGCAGCTCATTGGCTGTCTTTTTTATTTATAATAACGTATATGGTTTCTCCTCCTGGGACTCTAGGTGGATCACAATAAAATAAAAAGTATAAACAACCACAAAACATTAAAGTAAAACAAAACAAAGCCCATCATGCGACCCCTACACTAATTAGCCCATGTCAGCTGCTTCCAGGTGGTTGTACTGTCTACTCCAAAGGCTTGTTGAAGTACAGTATTAACTGCTTTCCAAAAGGACAAGAAGAAAGAGACATTTTCACCTTGGGGGAAGGGGGGGGGAGACTCTTGCACAGCAAAGAAGGTGTCACCAAAAAAGCCTCCTTCCTGACTCCCCCCATCTTAACTTAATGGGAGGGAGATTCTCAGTCTGCTCTCTTGGCTTGCACGAATGGACAAACAAAATATACTTTGGCTCGATGGTCCTGAAGGTAACAAAGACTCAAGCCATAAAGGGCTTTACAGGTGATAACCAACACCTTGAATTGGACCCAGAACTCTACAGATAGCCAGTGCAGCTCTCATAGATTACTCTTATACTGCTGTATAGCACCAACCAGTCCACAGCTGCATTTTGGACCAGCTATAATTTCCAAACTGCCTTCAAAGATAGCTCTTAACGAAACGAACTGCAGCAAGATTTTTGTAAATCTAAGCATGAGTTATTCTTGCCAGAGCATCTTTAGAAACAGAAGTGAATGAGGTTATGGTTGGATCATTATTTAGACTTCTACAAGATTAGTTCCATCCACTTTAGTCACCACCAAAACAAACAGAAAGAAGTCTACTGATTTTTGTTATACTAATAAAAACATGACCATCATTTTGTTGCAGCAGGGAAACTTTGTTGAAAACAATGATATTTTTTCTCTTCTGCAGAGGAATTCTGAATAGTGGGGTGAGAGTTAAAAAAGCCATACATCTGGAAGGCACCAGGTTGAGGAAGCCTGGTGCATTTGTATAATGTATCAGGAAGATAATGCATTTCATCAGACAATCATTAAGGAAGTGGGAGTTTCAGTTTGGCCACATCTGCAGCCCTACTGAACTACAGTTCCAAGCAATTCCTGCCAGTTTTATGATTCAGCATATTATGAGAAACCAGCTATTGACTTAACATATTGTGTGAATTAGGGCATCATGTTAAACTATAGCGCAATTAATTTTACACCACATACCATGAAAACCTACCAACTATGCTTTATTAATTTAGGTTTAGGATTAAGCATATTGTAAAACTCTACATAAGAATTTTTACTTGGAGGGGGAAATGAGCATGACCTTAATGAGCTACTAACTTTTCAGCAAGTAAACACAAAGCTATTTAAAAGAATTTTGGAAGTGGAATTGTTCATCTCGGTATCCTTTTTTTTTTTTTCTTCAAAATTTAACTTTCACTCGGCAATTACCTGCTATACAGTATGGACTGCAATCAATGTTCCAGGACGTGTCTTAAAAAAAAAAATTAGGAAGTGTGTGCTCTAAAACTGCTCATAGGGTTTTGCCTTGAAATAAAGGAAGGTGTTTTCAGTCTCTGCGCTAGGAACAGGAAATGTTTTTTGCAATAGTGATGGTATTTTTCAAGTTAGAAACATTTCACAGATAAGTTTGTTTTTGTTTTTTGTTTTTAAAAAAGGATGGAAAAACTTTTAACAATTAACATGTCACAGTTAGGGTTAGGGTTTTACAAAATAGCCTAGTAGGGAAAACATTATGATTTTTAACCAAACCTACTGGGAAGTTACAGAATAGGGTGAAAAGAAGCCATGCCTTTTGGAAGCCCACCCAACTACTTCTGAACAAATTCAGTCCAGGTAAAATAGTGTCACAGCATTGTTTGGAAGGGAATTAGGCAACCTAGACCACTCAGACAAAAAAGTACTGTTTCTTTAAAAATGAATAATTAACTTTAGGAAAATTACTATTGCAAAACGTGATATCTATGCACAATATTCCAACAACATGAATTAACTGTGTATTGTTCCCTTAAAAATAACTATACTTCCTCTTTTCCATTAACCAAGAGAGACCCTACTTCAAATGAAGGACCATGTGCTTCTAGCAAAGTATAACAGATGGTTTCAGCATATGCTGTAGGTCTTTTGCATTTTTTAATCTTTACTGTTTCCTTAAGGAAACAGTACATCAGTAAAATGGATTTGACTGGCCCCAACCCTATTAGACTTTGGGAAGGTTTTTAAGGTTGTTAGAGAAGCTGGTCCTGTAAGGTGTAGTACATGGTGGCATGTCCAGTTTGTGTTAGGTTGCTGTGTTTTTTGTCGGTTTTTATTGTTGCATGCTGCCTGGAGTCAAAATTTTGTGAGTTGTGCTGCCATATAGATAGATAGATAGATAGATAGATAGATAGATAGATAGATAGATAGATAGATAGATAGATAGATAGATAGATAGATAGAAAATGTAAAAAGCATAGCTGTCAGGCCTA